CAGCACTTTGGGAGGCCGAAGCGGGTGGATCACCTGAGGTCAGGAATTCAAGACCAGCCTGGCCAACATGGCAAAATCCCGTCTCTACTAAAAATAACAAAAATTAGCTGGGCGTGATGGTGGTCATCTGTAATCCCAGCGACTCGGGAGGCTGAGGCAGGAGAATCACTTGAACCCAGCGGGGGAGGTTGCAGTGAGCTGAGATTGCACCATTTTACTCCAGCCTGGGCAACAGGAGTGAAACTCTGTCTCCAAAAAAAAAAATCATCTTCATATATGTGCTTTATGGTACTAATGCAGGCTGAGACAAGTGTATTGAACTGGTGACTTGACTACCATAAGCAGTGCTGCCATTAGTGACTTGATTTTCCAAAACAGTAAATGTGGCAGATTATATTTTCCACAAATGGTCACACAAGCATTTCTGGTCCCATCTACTCTTCCAGAGCCTTGCCACTCCCCACTTGAAATTGGGTGGACTTTTGTGACTACCTAAACAAAATAAAAGACTAGGTCAAAAAAGGTCATATGGTGCCAGTAAACTTTCGGTGTCCTTTAGGGACCCCAGACATTACACTTACTAGACAAAGACTTTAAATCAGCTGTTAAAAATATGTTCAAAGAACTAATATGTTTAAAGAACTAAAGGAAAGCATAAGAACAATGTGCACCATATGTACATCAATTATCATATAGAAATTATATTAAAAAAAGAACCAGATAGAAATTCTGAAGTTGAAAAGTACAAAACCTGAAATAAAAAATTCATTAGAGGGATACAACAGCAAACTTGAAGACAGGTCAACTGAGATCATCCAATCTGAGGAATAGAAGGAAAATAAATGGATAAAAATAAACAAGAGACTCAGATCCTTGAGCCACCATCAAGCATATCAGCCAATATATAATGGGAGTCCCAGAAGAGAGGAGAGAGAGAATGGGGCATAATTCATATGTCAAATAATAATGACCTACAACTTCACAAATTTGATGAAAAACGTTAATATACACATCCAGAACCTCACCAAACTCCAAGTAAAATAAACTCAAAGAGATCAACACCTAAAAACATCCTAATCCAACTGCTGAAGGCAAGGACAAAGAATCTTGAAAGCAGCAAGAGAGAAGTGCCTTGTCACATACAGTAAGGCCTCAATAAGATTAACAGAGAATCTCTCATCAGAAATCATGGAGATCAGAAGTCACTGGGGTGACATATGAAGTACCGAAATTAAAAAGTACTGTCAGTCAAAAATTCTATATCCAGTAAAGCTATCCTTTAAAGGTGAAGGAGAAATAAAGACATTCACTGGTTAAACACAGAAAACTGTGGGTCAGGCATGGTGGCTCACGCTTGTAATCTCAACACTTTGGAAGGATGAGGCAGGGTGATCACTTGAGCACTAGAGTTTGAAGTTGCAGTGAACTATGATTACACCACTGCACTCCAGCCTGGGTGACTGAGACCTTGAACAAATAAAAGGAAATAGACGGTAATTCTGACCCACACAAAGGAATAAAGCACTAGTAATGGTACCTCCTATATAGGTAAATGTAAAAGACATAAATGATTTTTGTGTGTGTATAAGTCTTTCCTTCTTCTACCTGATTTAAAAGATAACTGAATAAGCAATAATTATAAAACTGTATTGGGCTTATTTTGTATGACTGTAATAACACAAACTAGTGGTGAAGTAATAGAACTATATAGGAACAAAGCTCTTGTATATTATTGAAATTAAGTTGGTATTAATTTAAAGTAGATGGTTATAACTTAAGATGTTAACTGTAATCACAAGGGCAACAGAGAACATAAATAGAAAATATAGTAAGAGAAATGATAAGAGCTGAGTGTGGTGGGAAACACTTATAGTCCCAGCTACTTGGAAGGCTGAGGTGGGAGGATTGTTTGCGCCCAAGAGTTCAAATTTAACCTGGGCAACATAGCAAGATCCCATCTCTAGAAAAAAAGAAAGGTGGGAGGCTGAGGCGGGTGGATCATGAGGTCAGGAGTTTGAGACCAACATAGTGAAACTGAAACCCCATAGTGAAA